TATATATATATATATATATATATATATATAAATTTTCTGGTAGTTAGTTATGAAAGAAAAAAACTGGAAAATAAAATTGGAATTGAAGATTCTGCATAAAGCTATGAAGCACTGCCTTCCTAGTAACTTTACACATATAAGAAAGTGATTACAGGTCTTACTATGGCTATGGAGCTCCCAGGTAAATCTCCATACAATTAAGTCAGACTTGAGAATAAAATTAAAGTTTTAGATTTTTAAAAATTCTGTTGTATGGTTTAAAACATATGTATCAAAAATCAGTAAATTCTAGTCCAGTTAACCATTCATGCTCCCCTGTATTTTCATAATAAAAAAAAGTCTTGGTCTGGCGTTGTGGCTCAGTGGTAGAGAGCTTGCCTAGCATGCACGAGGCACTTGGTTTGATTCTCAGCACCACATAAAGGTAAAATAAAGATATTGTGTCCACCTAAAACTTAAAAAATAAATATTAAAAAAAGGCTAATGCCTAATTGGTTAGCTGATTTATTTCTGTTTGGATGGTAAAATTAGTCTTACACAATGACCTGCTCTGGAGTCAGGTATAAGCTTGGGAATTTTGGTGGAATTTATTTGTTCCCCATCAATTGGAGAATGTAGTAGTCTACACAGATCAGTAGCTTAACAGTTTTAACACCAAAATGTTTGATTTTTGAAGAACAGATAGACAATAACAAAGAACTCTGACAACTGCTCCCTGCTGTTTGGCTTCTGTGGAGTTTTTTACCCAATAAAAATCTCAAGGTCAGAGGTACTGTGAGCTCTGATGCACTTGAGAAAAGACATAAGTCTGCTTGTCAGCTGCTGGGATCAAAAGCAAAAGCACACAGCATAGCTTGGAGAGAGCTGGAGAGAAGCCATGAGGGGAGGGTGAGAGACATACTTCAAAGTTGAGTTGAGCTGAATGTTCTGGTCAGGGAAAGGTCAGAGTCTGGACAAGCATAGGAACAGGAGAGCAATGCCAACTCCAATGCCAACATCAGGGCCATTCCAACTGGTGGATTCCATTTGTTTTTAATTATCAGCACACTGAAGGGACTTTTGTTTCTTATAAAGAAGATGACAAACAAATTAAGCTCTAGCAGGTGCAAAAAGCTTATTTTGTTCTGAGCTAAAACTGTCTTGGCTCAGATAGAACTTGCCAAGCTGGACTGGTGACAAGGAGATACTCTTTTCTTTTTCTTCCATGTGCAAACTCCTGGTTACAGGTCTTAAGCAAAAAGATGCACAAGCAAATGCAGTTGCTTCAGCAAATCATTTTTTTTTAAATTTTAGAATGATTATTAATACAGATACTGACTGTTGCATTGCTGTGGTGAGTCATTTCAAAACTTGGTATTTGAGCACAGTCTTGCCAAAGTTTGAAGTTTCCATCCAAGCAGCTTTAGTGGCTATCTGCCATTTTGAACAGCTCCCTAGAGCTCATGAGTCCAGCTGCTTCACTAAGCTGTATTATGGTGTTATTTTGAAGGGGGATAATGAAATTCCAGCATACAGTACTGTGTCTGTAAATCAAAACTTTGACTGGAGAAACCAGATTTTTCCCCTGGGTAACAGGAATGAGGAGTTAATATGCTAATTTGAGTCTGAATTCAGCCCCCTTGCTCTTTTGATTTTGTATTAATTCTCCCATTTATGCCTGTGCACACGTCAATCTGAAAATCCTTTAGTGGAATGGACAACCAGCTGTCTGAGGAAGGTGAGCGCCCTGTCCCTTACAGAGGCAGAGCTGTAGATTAGGTGCTCCCTTGAGGCTCTTTCCAATCAGGGCTCTGAAAGAATGGCTTATCTCACACAAACTGGGTTCCCCCTAGAGAAACTTTAAAAGAGGCTTTGTTTTTCCCAAGAATTTTTTTTTTTTTATGTTAGCTTAATTAATAGTGATCCACAGAAACCAAAATAAGCTACTTGTGGTCTATGTAAATGCTCATTTCCCCCTTTTATTTTGTGAGATAGTTATATTGAATTTATTAGCTCTGAAACACCTAAAATAACCATTTAAAAATTAAAAGAAAAATGTCTATATGTTCTGAGGTGTTTTTCCCCCTTGCTGTTTCTTTCTGGGTTTTATTTGAGAAATTTTAATAAACTATAAAAAAAATTCAAATCATTGGAAGCAAGCAGTGCCTAATTATATCTATACCACCACATGATGATCTATAAACAGAATTTCACTAGAAAAGGAAACTAGTTCTTCTTATATATTAGAATCTCACTTACTCAAAAATACTATTGAGAATCCACTGTATGACAGACATTACAAGATGAATCAGTAATGACAAAGTAAAATAATGTGATGCAGACCTTAAATATTTCATCTACTGGCTAGTCAGGCATATGACTATAATTACAATGTGTTTTTTTGTTGTTGTTGTTGCTAAAATAGAACTACATATATTTGGTAACTGATGTATAGAGTAAGTGTACATCAAAGAAATTTTACAGAGCAAGAGCCATTTGATCCAGGATTGAAAGATTGCATGAAACAGGGGAAGAAAAATGAAGAAATGTGGGTGTGGGAACTGGAGGTGGAAAGCACAAACAAGCAGAGATGAAAAGGCAGCACAAGGGCACATGGTGTGCTGTGGAGCTACAAGCGTTCTGTTATAACTGGAATGTAAAGTTCAAGGAGAAATTCCTGGTAGATGAGATTGGATTGGTAAGCAAATGTCAGATCCCTATAGCAATAAAATATTTTTATATTTGTTGTAACACCTACTCAGAGACAGATGCCAGGCTAAGCAATGAGGGGGACACTAATTTACACAACAGGTGAATGATATAATCAGACTTTGATTGCAAGAGTCACTGTGAGATGGGATAAAATAAATCTCAAGATTCAAGAGACTAGTCAGGATATTGTAATAAAAGTTTCAATAATAGCATGGCCAAGAAAAACATCTTGTTTAATTTTCCGAAAGGGCCTCTTTCCCCTTTGTCTTTCCCACTCCCTGACAAACCTAATTTATTCTCCTTTTCACTCCTACCAGGGGACCTTCTCCAAACATGTAGATGAGATTAGGTCCTAATTTATACATTGATGTGCCATCCCGCCTGTTTCTTCATAGCAATTACACTAACTGCAATTAACTACCTTTGTAATTATTTGTTCAGCATCCATCAACCATTAGCTTGTTGACATCCCAATGACAGGGATGGTATTTATCTTGCTTAGCAGAGTTTTAGTTCATGGCAGGTGTGCTATCCTTATATTTGTGTAAATATGCAATTGGTAGGTAACATAATATTAAATAAAAGAAGTTGAATGAGAGAAATATGAAAAAGCTAAGATGGAAACAGCTTAGTTCATGAATAGAAGAGGAAAATGAGAGAGAGAGAGAGAGAGAGAGAGAGAGAGAGAGAGAGAGAGAGAGAGAAATCTGAGTTGAATCCCATGCTCATGCTTCTAGTTTGGATAATTAATACAAATTATGACTAAAGTGTGGGGTGAGATTATGACTTAAATTCAAATGATGTAATAATTAATTGGATTATAGCTCATTGGATTAAGTTTTGTTTTTTTAAAGATTTATTCACATTTTAATCTCATTCTAGTGTGTTTTCAAAAATTTTAATCTAGAATATTGCTGTAGATTAACACATATAATTTGGGTTGATTCTACTTAGTTTCAGGTTCAGAAGACTATGTCTCTCTATTTTGTACTCAGATTTCTGGCATTTATTTAATATCAATACAAGAATTGTTATTCTTTTGGAGTCACAATGATTTTTAATTTTCTAATCATGAAATTAAAGACTTGGAGAAGTTGAAGCATAGCTTATCTTTGCAGTGAGACCTACTTTTGGTACTGGTTTGTGGTTAGATGTGAAATAAAAATAGAAATAAAAAGCAAATCTATAATTATGTTGAAGCTTAAACCTCCAAATATGTAAAACCCTCATGTCAGTTAAAGGAAAATCTCTAAAAGCAGCAGAAAAGTTTTTGACATCAAAACTGTCATGCAATTATCTTATCATTTATTCCTTGTATTTAAATAAAGTTTTATCTATTCCTTTCTAGTCACACACAGAGAAAAGGAAAAAGACAAAGAAAAAACAAAAGAAAAGGAAAAACCTGAAAAGAAAGGTATGCAGACATTCTTTTTTGCTGTTGTTAACATTAAACCTTTTTATTTTGAATTCCCTTTCTTACATTCAAATTTTAGCTGACCTTGCATTTCTTCTTTTTCAATTTATATTATGATTATTTCCTTGGAACAGATTCTGAAGGGATGAATTTCTGGATTGAAAGGGACTAAGTCCCTAATGCTCTTGAATTCCCCATACCACTTGACGTTTCAGAAATGCCATGTCAAACCCCCCAACCCTGGCCAGCAGTTTTTAAGCTGCATTAGCCAGCAGTGAGAATATTTTCCCAGAAAATACTTATCAATTTTATAGATAAGACAGTAGATCCTATATTTTAATATTAATATATTTTTATTACTATTAGACTGTACTTTTTTGTTAGTTTTTATTTATTTATTTAGAATAGATAATCAGCACAACATGTCTGCTTGGCACATAAACTTGCTCTGTGAAAACCTTCCCTCACCCCTGCCATCCCACTTCCCATTCCATCCCACCCCAAGTTCTCACAGTAAACTACGTGTGTGAGTTTAAACCTTTTACAGCTTTAGTACATAAAATGTGTAATTTATAATGTGATTATATAAATATATGGTATAATACTATAATAATAGTACTTTAATATTTTACTAGTATATTATTAATAATATATATTATTGCTTCTCCCTGTTTCTATACAAAATCTGACATATCCTATGTTATGACTTTTAAAAATACATCCTAGAAATTTTTTCAGACCCATAAATAAATATTTGCCCTATTCTTTTTTAAAAACCCACATAGTATTTAAATGCCAATGTTGTCTTCCACCCTCTCTTAGGGCTGATTGCTACTAATAGGCTGAATAATTTAAATATAACTTTTAGTGATGTATATTTCCTTTTGTAAATGTTCACAATCATTGCCCACTTTTCCTAGTGGTATGATTTTGGCATATAGATCTCTTAGTTCATAACTTTTTTCAAATATGTTTCTGCTAGTTTTGCAGTCAATCTTAGGTTTTCTATCCATGAGAACATACATATTGAATGTATTAGTGTGTATTTAGATTGCTGGACTTTCATGCGACTAGATATGTTGATATTTTCTTGTGTTTTTTCTGCTTTTGAACCTTCATCAAAGATTAATTTGAGGGACAGGGGCTGTGGCTCAGTGGTAGTGCACTTGCTTGACATTTGGTTTGATCCTCAGCACTGCATATAAATTTAAAAAAATAAAGGTCTAGCAACAACTAAAAAAAAATAAAATAGATTAATTTGATAACTACTAATATTTTCCTTAGATTTAAAGAATGTTCTATATTTTACATTTGACTTGAATTCATTAAAATTCCATTCGAATGTGCAATATGAAGTAAGATTCTAATTTATTTTTGTTTTTGTTTTAAATAGGATCATGTCTAGGATATTTCAGCTCATTTATGTATCCACAGTATGCATAACCTGCTTAGTTTTCTTGTGTTGCGAACCATTCCATTTAGGTGGAATATGGGAGAATACTTATGACATTTAAATAATATCCATTGAAACATGCTTCAATATTACTTATTGTATGTGTATACTTGAATATTTGAATTCAATATTTATCATTTTATTAATGTTTACTTAGTGATAATTTCCATCAATTTCAATATAGCCATCTTCTTTCTCTGTTCTCGAAACAGATGTCAATTTCTTATCTACTGGTGAGTTACACAGAATTATGAGCACCAGGCTTTATGTACTCTGGCTAAATGAAATAAACTGGTATTTCTTATGTGTTTTTTTTCAACCTTCACAGTAGCTAAATTTTTTTGTTGTTGTTAAAATAATGAAGATTTTTGCCATTTAAATTATAAATATTATATGAAATGTATCTAAATTGAAAATAAATAAAATGTTGTGTTGTATTCTTTTATTTATTGTATCCCTTTAAATGGATATTTGTGTTTCTGGTTTTTTTTTTTGGTACCAGGTATTGAACTCAGGGGCATTCAACCACTAAGCCACACCACAGCTCTAATGAGAACAGCTTAATCTGTTCCTGAGACTGGACCGCCCATGACCCAAACACCTCCTATTAAGCCCCACCTCCAAATGTTTTTTTTTTTTTTTTTACTTTTATAAGTAAAGCTGATGTATATTACTGTTCTTATATAGATGGAGAAATGTTTGAGGCTTTAATTTGACTTCTTCCTTAAACCAGCTGTTTATTTAAATCTTGTATTTTGTCTCTTAATATTTTAGAATTTACCTAAGTCCTATTTTTATACTTCAGAAAACAGTGTATAAATTCTGAGAACTATATAATATTTAGAGCAAACAACAAAACACTCAGTTTAATATATTTGAACTATAAAAAATATGCTAAACATGCTATTGTACTTCTCAGATAACCTTTACTTAAACTATTGAGATACACAAGATTTCATCAGTGTATCTAAATAAAAAGCCAAGTTAAAACACATTTATATTGATTTGTTAATTAGCTAAATAAGTAAGGAGAAAATATCTCAGGTATCATGTGGAATAATGATCAATTAATATACTTTATCAATAATCCTTTTTTGAATTATTCTTCATACTACTGTTGGTTCTCAACTAAAGTTTTCCCCTCTAGGGAATATTTGGAAAATTTTTGCTGTCAAAATGACATTGGACTGGAGGGCATTTGGGAAGCAGGTACCAGAGAGGCTAAACATTTTTTTTTTTTTCAAAGCATAAGACAGTCTCCTACTGTGAGGAATTGTTCTTCCCAAATGTCAGTTGTGCCCCTGTTGAGAAAACACTGAGCTTAATCACATCTTTAGTCCTGATTTAAATACTTCTTGCTATTAATCCTAAATAGAGTTTTTATTCCTGACATGAGATACGTTTTTCAACAAATCCTTATAAAATTGCTCCTTCTTTTTTTTTTTTCCTTCCCTGAAAGCTTTATCTTCTAGGAATAATGACTTAAAAAAGGAAGGGAGGATCTAGGTTTCAAAATGCTTTCTAAATCAATATTAAGTTTTACATTGAATTCTATGAAGTTATTATTACACTTGTAACTTTTTTCCTGAATTAGATTCATCAATGTCATAAAGCTTCAAAGCAGTCCATGATTTTGATGGTTACAAAACGAAGGACAAGGAAAAACTTGGTTTTGAAATCTATTAAAGTATATACTAATGTAAAATTTTTCTATTTAAGCAACTCACAAGGAAAAAACTGAGAAGAAAGAAAAGCCAGAGACAAAGGCAGGAGCAAAAGGTAAAATTTCCTTTATTATTTCCACAACTGACTACTTTTTACTTTAAAAGATTATATTTTCGGCAATAGAGAATCAGATGTTTGTTACCATTCAGAATTTCATTTGCATTTACATAAGAATGAACTTTATATTTAAAATTTACTATCTAAAGAATAATAAAAAACTGACTGTGATAAATGATCATCTTAAATAGGAGAGGAAAATGAAGAGCTTCATCATACTTGATTGGGAGAATTTTGTTCCATGACTTTTCCCCTTTGGTGTCATTCCCATCAAGATGTTACATGACATGGCCAACTGAATTTTGCAGGAGTAGGGAAGTTTGATCTAAAACAGGGAGATTATCCTGGATTATACAGGTGGGCTCAAAATGCTATTGCAAAGTATTCAGATGCAGAGAGATTTAGCAACAGAAGCAGAGAGATTTGAAGTGTGAGGACTTGCCCTCCTTAGCCACATGGAAAACGTAAGAAATGTTCTTTCCCAGAGACTAAGAAACGACTCTGTTGATAGTTTGATTTTAGACTTGTGAACCATAAACAAGGAAACCAATTGAGCCATAGTGAGCCAACATTTTAAAATCATGTAAACTCGGGTATAATAAATGGGTATTGTTTTAAGCAACTGTTTGTGATAATTTGTTACTTTGGCAATAAGAAAATAACACCTGGTTTGTAGTTTTTGACAAGTATTACATCTTGTGATCGATTTCAGGAAATTCAAACTCAGAGTTTCATTTTTTTTTATGCACATAACTTCATTATTATGTTAAGACTTTGAACACTAAAAGTATCTTGATAATATACCCCTACAAATCAATTAGAATATCGCTATAATATTATTATTTCTACAACTGAATACTGATTTTTTGAGTAAACTGATCTATTCTAAATTTAGTTACCAATTATTTTGTGTTAGAAAAATATAAATATGAACTGGAAGTTAAACCTTATCCCTTAAATTTAATTGTCTTCCTTGTATTTTAAAATAAAAGTTGTAATCAGTATATTTTAGAAATTATAATCTATTATGTTCAAGAATCTAATCATTTAGGAGAAAGAATCTATTTTCAACATTCAGTTTGTTAATTCAAAAATTTTAAATATTAGACCATTTAGGGGAAATATATTTTAAAATAATTATTTTCTATAAGCTAAGCTGATATTTTATTGAAGCTAAAATGTATGGGTTATAAAATGAGACTGCTTTTTAAAAAAGTAGCATGAATTTAGTCTCAATACTAAATTTATAGCTAAGTAAATACATTTTAATTTTATTTGGCTCTCTTCCACAGATGTGAGTGAAAATGAATTACATATATATGTGTGTGTGTGTGTGTGTGTGTGTGTGTGTGTGAAATCTAAATGCTAGTAGCGATTTTAGTGATTTTCCAAATTAATTACTGAGTTTAATAGATGAAAAAATAATTAACCCCTAGAAAGACAAAACAATTTGGTCAGGTCATATTGCTAGTATATAATTGGATTAAGTCAGAAACCCAGGTGACCTACAGGTAAATCAAGTATTCTTTCCAAAGACAATTAAATAAATCTTTTCAATAAGTATGTGTTGAATGCTGTATTTGTTATTTATTTTTGTGTAAAACATGACCACAAAAGTTGAGGCTGTGGGTCCAATACCTGGGCATGGACTAGTTCAGTACTTTCCTTCACAATCTGTTCAAAACTAAAAACAAGTTATAAACCAGGGCTGAAGTATCATTTGAAAGTTCACTTGGACAAAGATCATTTCCAAGTTCATTTATAGGGCATTGGCAAATTCAGTTCTCATAGCTATTTGAATGAAGGCCTCAGCTTTTTGCTGCTTGTTGGCCAGAGGTACCCTTAATTCCTTGTTGCAGGAGTATGAGTGATATGATAGCTGACTTCATTAGACCTAGCAAGATAAAGAATCCGCATGAAGATATCACAATTTCATGTTGACTAATCATGCAAGTCTCATTCATCCACTTTGGCAGTGTACTATTGGTTAGCATATTTCTAGGTCAAATTGTATTCACAGGGAGCAGACTATGCAAGGGTACAAAAGGCAGGAATCTTTGGGCACCATCCTGAGTCAGCCTGATACAAATGCTTTCAATTTACATACATTCTTCTGGAGAAGATAGATGCAAACTATAAAACACACACACACACACACACACACACACACACACACACACATATACACACATGCACACAAAAATTTATTTTCATTTTATATGTCTATGTTGTTTTAGGAACAGGAAACATATAGGAAATGTTCTTTGTATGTATTGTGATATCTAGGAAAAGAGAATAGTATTTAATAGGTCTAAACTGTAGTATGTAACATTTAAATCAGACATAAATATAAACTTGAAAGTGAGTCTCCTTAGAAAGAGCTTTTATTCCCAGAGGCACTTTTATTGAACACAGTATTTCTAGCTCTGTTTCAACCACAGTCTGTCCAAGGACAGCAACTAAATAGCCCACCTCAGAACTTTCACAGTGGGTATTTCATTGTCTACCCTGGAACAGATGTAGGGTCCTGTATCAGAACTAGCCTACATCTGTAGTTCATTAAAAATTATAAAGAGGAAAGACGAAGAAGACAATGATGGAATGAGAAGGTGAATGAATGAGCCAAGTTTGAAACAGACTATTTTAACTGGCCTGGAAATAGCAGGTCTTAAGATGTCTGTGTTTGATGAAGTGGGGGAGGCTACTGCTGTTGTGACCATGTTCAGGAAGACTGTATTACTTTAGCTGGGTCTGTGTATATTTATATCTGCTCCCATATGTCTTAAGATATATTTTTGTATCATTCTCACAGGATAATATTTATAACTTTATTCCAGTTAGTGTTCTTAGGAAATTGGTTAGACATTCTGGTTTTACTGCTATTTTTCCTGACTCATTTGGTTGTACCATCTTTACCAAATGGCTTTTGTTTCTTGGATTTCTCATATGTAGAATTAGTACAATGTAGTACCTCCTGTATATATTAAATTCTGGGTAAATTAAAAGGAAGTTTCAAAGAGCTCTAATAATATAACATATGTATTTTCAATATTAGGAATTTATGTACTTATTTTGCAGTGTTCAATTTTTGTTGTTGTGTTATTGTTGTTCATTATCTTGCTTGTTTCCACAGCATTATTAGAGGAAGAGGCAGCTACAATGATGATTTATTTTAAATGCAGGAAAACTGAGGCATAGAGAAGTCAAGCAATTTGTAGTTACTTAATGAATGAGAGATGGAATTAGGTATTTTCTAACTCCAAAAATAGGTAGAACCATAGTATGTTTATTAGATAACATATTTCTCTACTTTGGCATGAGACAGACATTTTATTCTTATAAAATTATAAATGGGCAATGCTACTTGCAAAATTATATCAGATATGCAGATGTCATTCTTTTGATTAAACTATTTTGTTTTGTATTTGACAAATGTCATGAATTAATTATCTACCTAACTAAAATGAGGTTATTTAAATACAACATGGATACACACACATAAATTATATATATATATATATTTGCTTTATCAATCCTGAATGAATGTCTCTTAAATTCTTTTTGTTAAAATGAGGGAAAGTACTTTGTCATAAAATTTAAGAATATTGATTCAGTTTGATCAAAACAAGTAGAAATTTGATATTGCTTTAGTTTCACAATATTTTTCTCATTATATTCACCTCATTATGGAGTTCTCATTTTTTCTATTGAAGACAAAGTTATCTATTTCAAAGATGAGAGTCTCTGATAAATTTCTAAAATAGGTAGGGAAAATTTTACCATGTGTATACTTAAAATCAATGATTATAATAATCCTGTTTCTAAGAAAATTGTCTCTGTATAAAGTTTTATGAAATTACAAATAGATATAAATTTAACATTTTTAATTGTATAGTGTAAAGCCAATCTTAAATTTGTGTAAGTCTACAAAGGATCAGGTACATATCATACAGAATAGCCAAAAATAACAATTTCACATAACAAAGCATAAACCAAAAATCAGTTAACAAGTTTTCCAAGATTTAATACATTTATTCTAAACATTTCTATTTACATATTTAATCTATCACTGTTATATATATGACCTGAATATAATGAAATATTTACTCCATCAGTTAAGCATACATTTATTCTGTTTTTTTTTTTTTTTTTCTGAAAAAAGCACTGTACTAGACATAATGGTGATACAAAGTTGAATAATGGAGTTCCTATTTGAAGTTGCTTATAAGTGTGGTAAGGGACACAGATAAGTGAACAATCATCTGTAATTCAAAATACACAATAGGAAGTAAAATGCTTTAATAAAAATTCAGGTCAATGAAATATCAGGGGAAGAAATGATTAAATTCAATATCAAAGCCAATTTTTTACATGTGAATTGAATGTGGTGAAATTTTGATATATAGAATATGTGGAAAATATACACTGCAGTTTGACAATGTTAGCATGGGAAAAAACATAATGCATTCAAGAAAATTGAAGTTGAATGGTGGAAGAAAAGAAACTTTTGGAGAGGAGCTATGAAAAGACAAACAATGAAAACAAATATCTCAGGGTTTTAAACACTGCATTAAATATTTCTTTAGAAAATAATATTACTGTGCTGGTAAAGATTCATCAAATATCTATGAGCTCAGACCAATACAGATTCTCTGGAAGGGCTTTTTGAGTTGTGTAAATTTGGCTGTTGGCCATTCCAGGGGAAATTTCGCTCCAGACAGACCCTAATAAACATTTCAGTGTGGGTTTCTAGAACAGTGTTGATTCAAGTCATCCACAGAAAGCAGATTTTTTTTTTTCTCAGTCACAATATGTATGAGTTTGCTATAGGAAAAAGCAAAAAGCAAGCAAAGGATATTTAGAAATGGTTCATAGAATGTAGAAGAAAATCCCAAGTATAGTCACAGAACCCACAAAGAGTTTGGAATCTTGAAACTTATGAAGTGAGTGGGTAATATTTGTATGAGAAATTTATGGTAAAATAATTTTGGATAATATATATAGCACAATTTTCCTCCTTGGAGAGTCTCAGTATAACATACCTTTGAGGGACTCCATAGCAAGAAACTGGTTTTGCTGTTTCCAAAATGATTTTGTCAGAAGAAAAATCTCTGATCTTAAATGTAGCTTAGTCTCTCTTGATTACATAAAATATAGCATTTTTAATTAAAAAAGAGTTGCATTTTGCAGATGAGCTATAAGTCTAAGATACCCCTTCATACATTGCATTAAATTTTGATAACAATCACAAATATTTATGTCAAAATTACAGTTTCCTGTTCCTTTTTTTTTCCTTTCCTCTTTCTTCTAAATATTATATTTAAGTAGCAATTACAGAAGAAATATTCTGTTGGTAAATTTAAAAAGTAATAATCTAATGTTTCTTAACTGTAAACAGAAGAAAAGAAGGCTAAGTCTAAAGAAAAGACTGATGAAAAGACTAAAAAGGAAGCAAAAGGTGGGAAACCAGAGAAAATGAAGCAAACAGCTGCAAAAGTAAAAGAAGTACAGAAACCATCACCGAAAACCAAAGAGAAGGATAAAGAAAAGGAGGACAAAGAGGCACTGTCCAAACATGAGCAGCAAGGTAAACATTCAGAGGAGGAAGCAGCCCGAGGCTCTAAGAGGATATTGGGCAAGAAGCAGATGCAGTAAAATTAACCTGACAAAGATCAAAATCAGACTCCAAACAGGGGTAACAGACCCATACATGTAAATATACTGGAAAAGAAATATAATAAAATGGGAATTAATATTTATTTATAGAAATATAAAATGAGTTCAAACATATCTAAGGTTGCATTTTGAAGTATTTTAAAGTGGTTTTTGAATTAGAGTCTGGAGTTACTTAAATGTTGGGAGTAAATGTTGAATTCTTGAGATGTAGAATTTCTATTAAGAGACAGAATAACAATTGAACAATTTTGTGTGTCATACTTAAGAGAAAAGCACTCCAGAAAAAAAATGATAGCAATTCCAAAGATTTGTTAAGGAGTCTATGAACAAATTATAAATAATAAATACTATTAAAACTATTTGTACATTCTCACGGTTTCTGAAAGCACACACAATTTAGAATATGATCAAATTATAAAATTCATTGAATTTAATAGGCAACAAAGTTGTAGAAAAAAGAACTCTCGGCATTTTTTGCCAGTTTCCAGTGACTAAATTGATGATTTTGGAAAGCTCTACAGCTGACAGGTGACTGATTCTGTTCAATAAGAGTGATGTCAAACTTATACCCTCACTTCAGAAATGGTATAGCATTTAAATGGAGGTGGAAAAGACAACTGAAGTTCTTTATGGAAGGGTTCTAAGTAAATATAAAGCGGTGGGTGCAGTGTTTAGAGGGCTACTAAGGGCCTTTGGGCTTTGTTGAATCTTTCCTTCTCTAAGTCCATTCTTAGGTCAAGGTCACTACACACTCTGAGACTCCATGAATAGAATGTGGGACCTAACCTATTTCTGTAAAGGATGTGTCCTACAGAGGGTGCAAAATAAAATTTGCTTTTACTCTGGTAGCAATTGAATAATTTCATGTGAGAGGACACAAAATTATTGGAAATTATTTGATTACATAATATATATGTAAATATATTAAATGTGGTTACTTTTAATATTTCATACATAAACAATGCATTTATACTTAAAGCACTGAGAATAAGATTCATATGTATGTACATGCCTACTAGAAACTGAAACACAACTTTTATATTTCATAATTCAGTTTTTATGGACCAATTTAAATCAATTTATTGGGTGGTAAGAAGTGTTGCCAAAATGGCATATTGCTTCTTAGTCTCTGGTGAGTCTGTGGGGAAGCAAAAAAAAAGAAACAAAACAATCTCCCAGATCCTATGTATTTTGCTTATTTTTTTTCTTTCTTTTCCAACAATTTTTTTTAAATATCTGTGGCAGTCAGAGAAAGTAGAGCTAATGAGAATCTGCCATAGAACACTGGACTGAATGTACCCCATCCTCATTAAAGATTATTTTTAAGAATCCCTTTCTGTTGACATTTTGCACCCAGAATTCATTTTCCTTCAGCTGCCACTCCACAGGGAACACTGACAAGGCAGCAGCAGCTGAATGACGTCCATCATTGCTCCCTGAGGACCGCAAAGGGGAGAAACGGACAGCATGGATTATTCCTAGAAGGATGCTATTTGAGAAAAATTACTTTGAAGTGGTGACCAAATATGAAGTTAACTTATGTAAATTATTATCCCATAACTATGAGAATTACAATGACAAGACAACTCAGATTTTTCTTTAGGAAAAAATCCCTGCTACATAGTTTGACTTGGGTTTAAAGAAACATTTCTGTAAAATGAATCTTTTAGAATTAGGAATTTTCTTTTGCTCTGTCCTAAGGCAGGTGAAACAGACATACTTAGAACTGCCCAATACATACCTTCAAAGAATTGTTATATACCTTGATCCGAGGACAGAGAGAAACATACAAAATATTACAAAATTCTTAATGTAAGATATTTTAAAAATAGTGATGCCATTAGAATATAAGATCACAGCCTTGCTTATAAAGAACTAAAACGTTTTAAATGTTATTATTCAAATAATTTTCTAGATGAAAAAGAAAGTTCCTTGAACTAATAGAGAATTTTCTTTTCAAATTAGAAACTCATTGAACTATTGATGCATTAATTAAAAGAATGATCTTTGGAACCACACATTATTGGTATGATAAAAAATAAACATAGCACTTTGGTAATATTCATACCAGGTTAAAAAGTTTTGTTATACTCTCAATATTAAATTGATGAGGAAACTTTGAACTGTGGTTTTATTAATTCAGTACACTGTTCAACATTTTATGTGTATAGCCAGCCCATCATCCCTTGGGACAGAGAACAATATTTCATTTTGGAGCATCATACAAATCCTTCAAATTACAAATAGTCCCTACATTCTAAACTTCAGACTACATTCTAACAAAAAGTCTCTTTTGCTGTCCTAGGAGGCTGTAGTGTCATTAATGATCACTGAGTAAAAACACAATTGAATGGTTTTAGATTGGGGATTCTGCATATATGATCTATCTGATTAGATGCATCAGGGGAGTTTGATAAAAATGCATCATCCTAGGGTCCAGACCCATAGCACAAGTTTTGAAATGATGTGTCCCACAAGAAATTCCCTTGTCTTTTTGATGAGTAAACTGCCAACAGAGAACTACTTCTAAAAGAAATCTAAAGGCATAATCACTTCAGTTAGTGAAACAAAAGGGAAAGACTGACAATGTCACATTTAACTAATTCTAATTTTCCATTAAAGGAAAATGCATTTTTTTTTGGTCTTGTCTTAGTGCAGACTTACCCATTCAGCAAGAAAATCTTGTGTTCAGAAAAGAGAAGCTACCATCTGCTTTAAATTTACTTTTTTTTTTTTTTTTCCATATGAGGTTCCCAGGTCCTGGCATCTGAAACTTTTGTTACTGCAGCTTCATCAAAGAGTAGATAGATTCATGGACTGATCTGAGAATTAGCCTTTTTCCCACTCCTGAGTCTCCTGTGGGAAAATGTGCTCTCATTTCAACAATAAAAATACATACAACATTTTGAAATTATATGAGTTTTAGCTTAACATATTTAGGTATTAATGAACACGATTATATTTTAGATCTACCACATAGCATTTACGTTTTGAAAGACCTAGGAGAGTTTCATAATAAAACTCATTAAAAATATTAACACTCTAAAGATTGAAGTTTTAAAAAATCCTTCAATGTATATTAATAGAATAACAAATTTTGTTGTTTCATGTTTGATACGCATAATGTGAAACAATTAAAAATATGTCATGTTGTATAAAGCCAATAAACTTACTTGGTCCCAAAGCTGCCTTTGGATTTGGTCGATTAATAAGATCTCTATTCTAAGAAAACTAAAATGTAAATCATTGCATAGAAGATTCATTTCATAATATTCAAGATTTAGAGAATCTCTGGTAAAACTTACAGATTCTAATGATAATCTTCATCAATGGAAACTTGGAATGACCTTAGGAGAATTTAAAGTTGTGTGAAAATATGAAATAGTTTAGAGAGAAAAGAAAAAAAAAAAAACACTCTTGAAATCATTTTAAGATGTTTGTCCCAAATGTTCACCACTTACTGTTTTTTGATCTTTTTTTCCATAGGTCATAGACTAGTCAAGATCATAAAATGGTCTTATGAAAATTACTCAATTAATTATCTTAACAGTGGTATCATTTGGCACTGTTAGTCTGTTCTTGATTTCTTCTAATTAAAGAACATTGTCATGGAAAGGAGTTTCAAAGGGGTTCGCCCTACTGCAGGCCTTTTTGACAAAATATTCTGCAGCTTCATTTAGGATCTGGGAGAGAATATTTGGTAAAACATTCCAAATTGGAACCAATTTTCTTTTGTAAAATTTCTGCTTCATCATCCTAAGTCTACAAAAGGACAAATGAGAATGAGTGCTTTAATGTGATGACTTTGTAGCAAATTTGATGAAAAAGGCTTTCATTTTTAAAAACAACCACTATAATATTATCTCTGTTTCAAAATTTAAGGTATTTTTTGTATGACTAAATGGAGCATTATGTTCTTTATGCCTTTTCCCCCCTGCATGTCCATGAATACAAATTATTTCTTCGCAGAAAATATGTAGTAACCAAAATTGAATTGTGCTATTTTGTTTTGTTAAACCATTTCTCCATTGAAAAAAGAAGGATTTTGATGACATTTTCTCATTTTTTTTTCTTTCTACTCTGTCAGATCAGTATGCATTCTGTCGATATATGATTGACATGTTTGTCCATGGGGACTTAAAACCAGGTATTCCAAACAATTCTTGTGCTTGTCTGTTTTAATAGTCTTTGTTTCTAAGATTTTTGGCTTTTTAATGTACTAAACTGTATTTTCCTTTTTAAAAAATGCATAATGCATGTGTAGATCTAGAATAAAGCCAATAAAAAGCAAAAGTAATAAGTGGCATTAGGGCCTTTAATTTTACTTTCAATCACTGCATGGCCTATTGCAAATATAGTCAGCTGAAAGCTAAAAACATGCTAATATCTTCATATTGAAGTATGCTAATATCTTTAATAATATCTTGGAGTGAAGCGATGAATCATCTTTTTAAAATTCCTTGTAAACAGAAGAAAAAATGTATGACAATGAAAATATCATTCTTTTCTTAGAAGTGAACATTCTTTTCCTAGAAATGAACAGAATTCATATTAAAATGAATCACAGTTCAAATATTAAATCCCCTAAAAAAAAACTTGAGATTTTCTCCCCACATATGAACTTTGGCCATTCCAGAAAAATATTAATGGAGATAGTCAAGTCTGGAGTTAATAGTCAACATAATGGAGAAAACTTTTAGTTAAAGCAATGTACATTAATCTCTCATACCTTTAATTCTTGCCCAGAGTTTAATGAGGTATTCTTTACTAATACCATAATTAAAAATAAGCAACTTATTGCTTGCACTATGGTTTTTGCAGAAATAAAAACTGGTGAAACATGTTCATATTCGGGAAAACATTTCTAAGAAGATATTGTTAAAGAAGGAGATAATTTATATTAAAATAACTGAAGCTGTTTGTTTAAAGCAAACACATTTTGTGTCCTTGCGTGTTTATGAGAAAATCTTTCTAAAATGTATAATTATAACTTGGGCATATGTTGAAAACAGGTATGTCATATCTGAAAAAAATGTATAATACATATAGGCCCTAGGAATTAAGAAAATCCTACGACTCTTATTTCTCTGGACAACTAAAGTAACAGAACAACTTATTCTGTCAGATGGTATC